TGTGTAGTCAATTCTTTCAAAAACTTTCTGTGTTACCTAAAAGAGCGTTTTTTCTAGTTTCTTATGCATGCCTTCGCTTTCGTACATCTCCGTTCATTTCAAAGTTCTGAGCCTTCAAATAAAAGAGACCAAATCTCAAAATTTTTGCTTTCCACTTTTTTTTGCCCTAAATCCATGAGGAATAGCAGGATTAATTTCAAAAAATATGCATAAGCATTACTAAACTTTGTGCTATTTGAACAAAATTCTCCATGAATTCTGAGCCGGAAAATTTAATTGCGAACTTCAATAATGGTCGCGGCCCTTCCGTGTCATATAAAACTTTCAAGCAAAAGGCGATTGCAGGTCTTTTGCACTATTTAGCAAAGGTAGACCTAGTTTATTTGATGGTAGAAAAGCGCTAGGGTTTTCTCACTTTCCAGCGGAGAAAAATGAAATAATTCAAAAATGACCGATTTTTGAACCCGCCGAGATGCCGGAAAAAAGTGAGTACTTTCGACTTTTTCGCGAAATTTTCTTTCAAAAATTTCCATAGAAACCAAGTTTGGCATTATTGCTCAAGAGGCCCTTGGCTACACGATGAGCGAAGTCTGCTCTATCCTACTTCATTTCAACTTAAGTTATGCTCTCTCAAAGTGGAGGCTTCTGAAAAAAGTTGTTGGCAATCTTCAGACCAGAAAATCTTTCTTATGCTAGATACAGTCACGCAAAAGTATCTGTTTTATAGCCACTGATTTGTTGGTTACAATAGATTTTATTGCGCCCAGAAATGTCTTTTCAAAGAAGAATTATCTCGGCTGAGTTGAAGTATAGAAAACGTGCATCAATTATGAATCAACCTAATATTACAGGGACCTCTAAATAGGCCATTGCAATAAGTCCCACTCAATTTAACCCCCTCCACGCTGAGAAAAATTCGCTCAAAGTGGTACGCGGACGACTCCTTCAGTCTCCTCCCTTACGCGTTTGAACATGTCCCTCCACTTGGCATCCACCTCCCCTCTGTTGCTGCTACTGTGGCTGAGGCTGAAGTTGGAATGTACAACTCGTTCACGTTGCCTCCGCGGGGCCTCCAGAAAACGAATTTTTGGGAACTTCGTGCGATTTTAGGCCCATACAGTGCTAGACATGGTCCGACAGGCTTACAAAATGCAAAAAACTCGGCAACTAAATTTTGGTGAGACAACCGTTGAGCCCGCAAGAAATCGAGGGTTTGATGGCTGTACCTTCCTTCAATGCAGCAATGGTTCTTTGAATAGTTTCACATGGTTCACTGCGCAGATACTGCTCAAAGTTTATAATTTGTCGAAGTGGCTAACTTTGCATTTCAGCTAGTATAAAAGTAAAAATGCGTTGATGACCTTATATGGGCGTTGTCTGAAAGAGAACAATATGTTCTAATACCTGCCGAAATTGGAAAGTTCAACCACTTTCGTTTCCTGAGAAATCTACAATTATTCTCTAGGTGTCCAATTTTTTACTGTTCACCCTAATACATTACTACCAGAGCCAGGTACCCCCAATTTGGTGGGACGATGCCTTTGATCACATTCAAATCTTTATATGATTCAAGCACATTTCATTACATATCACCACAGTGCCCGAATCCCCAGCACATCAATGAATGTATTAGGTTGATGCATAATTCCTGCACCAAAATAGGTACAGACCGCAATAATCTGGAGTAACCTATATCCCAAGTAGGATTCGATATATTATTATATAGAGCAAACCTAGCACTACAAGATTTTGCTCAAATATCTGCACCAGCTTTGATCCACGCGAAGTTTTGAGCCGAAAACTGAAAAATCATGCGTTAGAAAACCTTAAGACCAATCAGAACAAAATTGTAAATTCGTTCAAAAAGCTCCTACAAAATTTCTTTGTTGCTCACGCGTAGACATTCCACGTAAGACATCTATATATGCGGTTGCTGTATTTTTTTCCCAACTAGACGATGAGAAAACGATGTTTCTCATGTTTTTGCCAAATTAGTGCTGAGATGTTCTAGCACTAACAGTTGTATAGTACATGCCATTAGCAGTGAAACTTTACATTTTCAGCCTTCTAGAACTGCTAGTTTACGAGAAATGAAGAATCTAGCTCTCCTTATTCGAATTTTTTTCGCCTAGTTGCTAAAAATTCGATATTTCTCGTAAACCAGCTGCTGTAAAGAGCTGAAAGTTACGTTCACGCTTCTAAGATCCTATAGTATACAAATGTCAGTGCTAGAACGTCTCAGCATTGTTTCAGAAAAACATGAAAAACTTCGTTTTCTCATTTTCAAGCCGAAAAATACAGCAACTGCATAGAGAAATGTCTTATACGTGATGACAATGCATGAGCATGTTAGGAATTTTGAAGGATTTTTCTGAACGGACTTCCAATTTTTTCTTGGTTTTTTGGGCGCTTGGATCTTTTTCGTTTTTGGCTTCAATCTTCGCTTGGATCAAAGCTGCTACAAATCTTTAAGCACTATCTTGTAGAGCTAGGTTTGCTCTATCTGACGATATATCGAATCCTATTTGAGATAATTATTGGGATTATTGCAATCTGTACTTATTTTGGTGCAGGAATTATGCATCAACCTAATAACTTCATTCTCATGGGCTGTTCTGAAATAGGCATAATCGCGCCGTTGCTTTGACACTTCAATTCCTACGTTGAGTATTATCGCATAGGAACCCCCCCCTGTACTTTTCTGCTATTTTTTGACCTCTTCTTCAATATGTACGTATGTTTGGACTGCAGCTACTTATGTTTAGAGCAGTTTTTCCCTTCCGTTAAATTAGTGAGCCTAAACGCATCATTTGTCTACCACACACATGTCAAGCATAGCATCTGCAACAACAATTGACTTCTCGCTCGTGAACTCAGCTCTGCAATCGCCTGTGGTATATAACAAACGATGAACATTTGAATTTTTAAATTTCTGTTTTAGCCTTTTTTCTGGATAAAGATCAGTACTACATCAGTTATGATGGGCTCTCGAATATAACCTACTTTATGTACATATGTCACAAGTACTTCATATTCTTTGGGTGTTGAACTAGTACGTGCCTCCGATCCATGCTCGGGAGCTTTAATACGCATAACACTATAGCCAAAGCTATATATTAAGCTATGACATATAGCTTGGAGGCCATCCTTACTTCATACAGTCCTTCATATATGTGACTGAATGTTTGGATTGATAGAATTTTTGAAAAGAAAAAATACTTATGATTTGAAGCGAATAAGAGGCTTCACGAAACTTGGATTGGTTGCCGTCTTATTGCATGCTTTGACAACTTACCAAATTGTTAGTATAGTTGAATCTTTGACCGCACGCACTGACATCACTGCGGACCACGCATCGCGAGGTAAAACGCTTGCCCCAGTATAAGTCGTGCTCTCGTGACAATTCAGCCGCTCCGCACGTGGTCTGCAGAGTTTGAGCAGTCCTGCGGTCAACGAATCGATGATACCGTTTTTTGGTATATTTGAATTCTCTAAATGAGGTTGGTCAAAACCTGTGCACCATGGCATAATTTCCTGCTCTTTGTACAAGTTAGGCTTTCAGAACCATTTATTTAAAAGGCGCTCATATGATACACGATCTTTCAATCCATCGTTGCCTTATCCCAAATCTAGCTAATTTTTCAGAATATGTTTCACACATTCGAAGGAGCAATAAATAACAACTAAACAGAGCAATCTTGCAAAGCCATGCTGCTTTCGCAACTCTGCAATCACGATATCCAGAATATCCACAAATCTGTTTTTGGAGTGAAAAAATTACATTCGTTTCATTCAAATATGGCAGAACATCAACAGATAAGCAGCATGACTACTAAGATGCATAATTTCGTTTTCTTATTACCGTTACTTTTTCTTGGCGATGTATGCAAAAATTGGAAAAAACTCGCTGCTTTTTAGATTGACAAGCGGTACATTTGGTACTGGAAATCAAAAGTTACAAAATTTTAGAGCAGTAATTACTCTTTTACTTCTTCCTAAAGTAAATTCAGGTACTACCTATGTGTGGAAGCCTTAAAATCCGAAGCTTACCAAGTATTTAATAAACGAAACCACGCAATCTCTAAAAATTAGCGACATTCGAGAAATTATGTCGAAATTCCAAAGAATCAGCGGCGGAGATGCAAAAAAAGCATTGTATTGCAAAAGATTCGTTTATTCATAAGTTGTCAAAGCCTTTTAGCAGTAAATCAAGAATTCTAAAACTTCGAATTTGGACAGGGTAAATACAGATTGCAAATATCGTGGACTATCGAAGCGCATTTTGGGAAAATCACTTTGATACAAAAATGTTGAAAAACAAAACGTTTGTGTAAAATGTCAGCCGATCTTTACTTTAAGTAATTTGAAAAATTACCCAAAAAGCCGCACGGATATTACGGAGAGAATTTCTACAGTTACAAAACGTATGTCTCATAACTCGTAAAACACCCTTCAAAAATTTTTATGAACAGCCATCTATCTTTTATGACCTAAAATGGCAATAGAATTAAAAGCAATGATTCTGCGGTTTTAACGATAACCCCGATTTGTATAACGAGACAGAGTTCCAAAAAGCTGCCATTGCAGAGGAGGGCCAATATTCGCAGCATAATCGGTTCTGTTTGTCCAGAAAGCCTGGTGCAATTAAGGGCGGTCGATGAGTAGTCTCTTAGCCGGAAGCTTAGCCTTGAACAATGCTGAGACTCGGGCTGGGTGTTATACCTCGAGGTGTATTGTTGTGATGTATTGCCAAGGCTAGCAGAGATTTGGTGCAGTGCTTGTTACAAATCTGACACTCGCACCGGCCGGCGGCAGCACAAAGACCGGCTGGTGGGGTGCAAGTGAGGCATTAATTACAAATAAGACTGATACGTACAACCTAATACAATATCTAATGAAGCTTTAAAACCGTTTCTTATGACGTTTCTTATGTCTACGAGAAGATGACTGTACATGAGAACCAGTCGATGCAGAAGATAGCACATCGGACCGCTCGCTGCTCATTCCGAGTTGACTGGTTGCTGCACTCTCGTGTTCTTTAGGGTGAATGCCACACAGCGGACGTCTGCAAACAAGATAAGCTTTTGACAAAAGATCATTAATGCCAAGACTTACCTGCTCAGGAATTGCTATGTTAGTGAGCGGAGCAACCCAAGACCTATCCCAGGAAGCGTTCAGTGACTGTTTCCCCTAAACCACTCACCAAGATTAGTTTCTGTCAAATGATTGGTGTAATCCTACTTACCTTTTGCAGTGTACACAAAGATAGGCATAGGAATACCGGGAATCCGTAGAACATGAGATATATTCAACATCAGTAAATATACAGAAAAGCTCAAGAAAAGCTCAAGCAATTGTAGCAGACACGTACTGAATGTTGTCCTCCCTCAAACTCACGGGGACTAGTTCCAGTCAAATTTTTGATAAGAACGCACTTGTCTTGTGGAGTCTATACTAGGAGTTAGGCGCAAGGTCAGTAGTCTTGCAATAGAACACGAACTAGGTAGATTTCAGCTCCCGTATGTAGAAATGTGTGTAAATGTAGTCACCCGTAATCCATGAATGCGTGCTGAGATACATGGAGAGCTAGTCGAAAGGACATATGCTCCATCATGGGTAAGGATGATACAACGAGTGCAAGCAATGGCACGCTGGTTGCACAGCGCAAAATCTCAATACCATGCATATCACATTCGTCTCCTGAAAAAGATGGTTACGAAATGTGCCCCTTTGTTCTTTTTTGTACAGTCAAAAAGTGACGAAATTCAAACCTTATACTCCTCAGCCAGTACATTCCAGCTCGGCCTGTTACTTCTTTATCGCCAACAAGACAGGCAACAAATTTGAGGAAGGCGCTACAGATGTCATTGGGATTTTCCTTTGATTCTGAAAAAGAGAGCGGTATTAGCAAAGATAGAATAACATTACTGCGAAATTCTAGGTAGTTTTGAGTGACAAACATACAAATCTTTCTTCTAACGATGAATTACGTAAACAAGACAAGAACGAAGTGTAAAAATGGCGCTCAGTCACAAAAGAGGAGAAGCAGAGCGTTTGCTTACGTAGCTCAATCATGCAATTTTCAAATCCCGCTCACTTCCCGCGACATGGCAATGTTACCGGCTGACGGCCGTTCAAGCGGCCACCCCGGTATTATTTTTTTGGAGCGGCCACCAGGCCGGCGTTTAGCTCCGCCCAAATTTTTGGAGCGGCCGCCGGCAGGAGGGCCGTCGTCAGCCGGTCGCCGGCTGATGCGAGTGTCTGAGATTTATAAGTCTGTGTTTATGCGCGGTGAACGAGCAGTTGCTGCCGAGTGGTATTTCAGTTTTTATGGAATTATGTTGTACATAACATGTCTTGATTTTTTCTTTATTTAGACTGTAGCAGTATGAGAGAAAATGGGCGACAAAAGGTTGAGAATATGTTTAGATTAGATGAATTTAAAATTTGACGTCCTTTATCGATGCGTTGAATACAAGCTGATACCCTATTTGTTCTCTAATGTTGGGAATAAACAGATCCACAGGTCACATCCCTAAATTTTCTCTTTGACGCTATTTGGATCGCGATTCCACTCATCCAGCAGTGCACTGCATTGCGAAGCGCTCCTACCTGGAAAAGAATGTCGTTCTTTGAAGCTCACTGCGGGATATAATCTGGCCCGAAATAAGCATGGAGAACAGAAACTAAACCGGCGATTCTTGTCCATTGGTTCTGGCAAATTGATATTCAATCAAGTAGTGTAAAAATACATACAGGTCATGACTTGTCCAGATACATATAAACATACCTAGGTATTTTCCCAGAGATTTCTTTGTCCACGGGACAGGGTGTCTGGAGGATCGACATGTAATAAGACAAGGGGTTTTCGAATAACATAATATAATACCATTAGATGTGACCGTACACAACCGAATGTGTTTGGTAATCTGACTTTCAGAAAGGGTTAAAAAGTGTCATTTTAGCCCCTCAGATTTAGGGGTGATGCATCGCAATAAAAGGTTGACAAGGAATGGAAAAGTTTGACGAAGAGGGTGAGGAGGTAGAAGCAAATTATCATGAAATCAAATGCACCTTTTCTTTATAAATGCATTCCGTAAGTTCGTTGCTTGTAGCCTACATTTCTGTAAAAGAAATCACCCACAGAGAGGAAGTTCGCGGACACAAGGCTCTCATTTTGAACTTATCAACTTGCTTTATATTGATACACTGCTAATGTATGCTTCTTATGGTAACCCCGCAAGGTAAATTAAAAAAATGCGAGTGACATACTAATCAGTCAAGCAAAGCAAACTGTACAAGCCGTGCTGAACACAAAAGACTGATCCACGTAAAGATTGGACCCAAAATGTAAGAAAAAATTTTGACCAAATTCCCATCCACAGGATTTCCTTGCAGCGGACACTTGCTCAGGCATATAATCCCAGATCATACATATATGTACGCGTTTGCTGTGCTTTCTCCATGGCTGGAAATCGAAAAAGGAACCAAATTGCAGTCACATCGTTATATTTGTACTATGTAGCTGGCTTACCCGGCTCCGCCGTATGTTCCGAATAGAAAATTCCATTTCTGAACCGATCCGGATCAAACTTGGCACACATACACTTCGGGCCCCGGCGGGTGTCATAGGCTACTTTTCGTCATCGATCGATGTCGATTTTATCGATTTTTTGCAAAATTTGAGCTAGGGGGCTGGAATTTGGCAGAGGGGTGTAATCGAGCATGCTGATCACCCCCGTGGGAGTGATCAGCATGCTCGATTACATCCCTCTGTCAAATTTCAGCCCCGCAGCTCAAATTTTGCAAAAAATCGATAATCGATATCGATCGATGACGAAAAGTAGCCTATAACACCCGCCGGGGCCCGAAGTGTATGTGTGCCAAGTTTGGTCCGGATCGGTTCAGAAATGGAATTTTCTATTCGGAACATACGTACAGACAGACATACAGACAGACAGACATACAGACAGACAAACAGACATTCAGCTTTATATATAAGATTGAACGAGGCAGTTCAAATTGCCATTGAAGTGGAAAAATTGGGATTTTTGAGGGTGACGATGTTTTTGCTGTCAGTCGTGTAGTACTTGTATAGCGTATGTACAAACATAAATATAGGATATCCCTTTTATATTTTTCCTAAACAATTTTCAGTCTGGCATTTGCCACCTTCTGCTGAGCCCTGGTCAAGGTATTCGGACAGAGATGCAGTTTTTGAAGTTTGATTTCTTTTTTTGATTTCGGCGTCATTAACGTGAATCAATATTCGTGCAGATGTTTGAGCATTTTTTGCAAAGCTTTTGTTACAGCATAATATGTTTCTTACGTTCTTTCTTATGCCCCAGCATGAGTAAGCATCAATTTTGTAAAAGTTAATAGATAATATGCAGTTCTTGATTCAAATCGCACCTTATTCCCACTGTTAGCCTCGTTATATGGAGCATTAAGAAAATAAGAGAACTTATAAAGGCACGTTTCAGGTAATCTGTCATTCTCTTCTCTCAAAAGGCAAAGGATGTGCAGCCGCCCATTTCTCTCTGCCATGCACTGGATCGAGTGCTTAATTCTGTTGTTTTGTCTCCTTCATCTTGTTATAAAGAACACAGATCAAGGACACCTCGATTTCTGGAACTTTTCACTATCTTTTAGTCGATGTGGATCAATGGAAGTTCGTCAGTGTGCGCAGTATTGTATAAGCAGAATCGATGCAGGTTTTTCACACCTCTTTTTCAAAGTGTTGGCTCAGAACAAAAATCTATTGTCTCAGGACTATGCATACCACGTGAAAGCACTCTTCTCCTAGTTTTTTAGACACGCTTTCGTTTCAGGAGGACGATGTTCATTTCAAAATCAAGTGCTGTTGAATCAAGAGACTAAACCTTAAATTTTTCTCCTTACACTCTTTGCTCTAAATCCACCGCGAAAAATCGAAATTTTTGGCAAACTGGGGCAATGTTTATATATGATAATGTATGATATACGATGCTTGTATATGCTACAGATGCAAATTGAAGCGAATTTCTCAAAAATTTTCAGACTGAGGAATATTTTTTTTATCAAATTCAATCAACCGCTGCTATCATTGCGGCGTATGAAAATCCTACATGCGAAGCCGTTGCGGAGCTTTCGCCGTGTGCAGAAAGAATAGACATAGGACACATGATAGCAAAATACGGAGCTGTTAATCTCCTTGGGGACGAGAAGTTCAAAAAAACAGCAAAAAAGCACCTTTTTGTTTGAAACACAAGTACAAAAGTACATTCAAATCGATAAGGTGATATGGATCATTCAGGCTTTTTGTGTGTGGCTGTGGCTCTCTATGTGCTTTTCTTGCACACTTTTCTACTCTTTTTTTTCAACTTTTGTACATCCATACCCTTCCACACATTGCATTTTAACACGGCGATAGTATTCAATGCTGAGATAAAAACACCTAAATGCGTAAGTTTCGCACTTATTCCAGATTTATCCTGCAATACGATTCAAAAAGGAAAAAATGTCAGCTTACCTGCAACGGTGTCTCCTGCGATGATTTTTGTGTCACTGCCTTGTCTACGAATCAACCAAAGCGAATACTCTGTGTTTTTTTTCATCATGCTTCTTCCCTTAATTTGTGTGCATAGGTCATGCATATATAATTGTCTGTAACATTCTGTCACTCACTGTATAAACTTTGACGAATGTTGCCGTGTAGCGGATCACCTGCATATTCGGAAAATCGACTCGGTCATTCTCATCCTCTTTGGCCCATTGCACAGTAGCAACTGAAATAAACACCTGTCATATCGAATGATGCTCGCACGCAAGCGAAGCTTATCTCTCGAAAAACCGATTCTTCTGCAAGGGCTTAAAGATGCAAATATCTGAATAAATGTTTCGAATTGAGTCGGGGCCAACGACCATTACCATACATAGGTCGAGGGCTTTATGCATAAAGAAATCCCTATTTTTTATGCGTTTTCAATGTTCGTTAATCCTATTGCTAAAGACGGCAACAGATCTCTTAATTGTACGGAAGCGTGAAAGTTGTCAAACGTCGTCAAGCTTTTGCATGTCTATCTTCATAACATGTCTTCATAACTCACTGAATAGAGATTGAGATATACACCAAGTGTTCCAGAGATCCAGTTTAATACACCCCTCTTTTTCTGCGAGTTGTGCAATGGCGCTCACGAATGAGATATTATCTGAGTGAGGAGGATCTGGATCTTCTGTACCAGGTGATACTGGATCGTCGACTGTTGGTCCTGGTTGTTGAGGGTTGACTTCCGGTGCAGCGTTACCATCTGGAAGCTCAGGTTTTGCTGAGGGTCAGAAGGTTTCCTCTCAAGGTCATCGTTAAACGGATTATCACCTGTGTCTTGCAGAGTGGCTTTCATCTCACTCAAAACGGTCGAGCAATTTATGCTATCTTTGAAGCCGAGCATTATACCCATATTCTTGCCAGTCTTCCATGTGGTAAACTCGCAGCTATCCATCGAAATAGTCATACTTTCCAAATCTAGTCTTCCTAAATATGTCGCTTTCTTGATTATGAATGGTCAGAGATTAGTAGAAATCACCTCCAACTAAGATATTGGCGGGAATTCTTAGTGCTGGAAATTTGTCGTGAAAGCAGTCTTCTGGGGAAAACATTCGGAGGGTGACGCTCCTACCACTTAAATGCTTCTGCGTCGGAGGCTGGAGCAGAAGTGTTTGCAATGTGGAGTGAAAAGCATTAACCTGACTTGTCCTACCTTATAGACCACGTTAATGGTTGCATCGCTCGTTTCCCAACGCTCTGAGGTAGAATAAGAAAGTATTTTCATCTCCGTCTTAACTTTCACCTCTGCGACTAAATAACAATAAATGAATTGCGCAATGCCAGTATAACGAAAGTACTCCCCTATTTAATTTAATACTGACTACCACGCATGACATGTTACCCTTTAATTCAACTGGCTTGGCGACTGGAAGGCAGAGCTTCGTGATAGAATTAAGGTTAGGTAATGATCAGAAATCGCGTGGGAGAGACGCAGACTGCGTCGCGAGCGCGATCGGCCTTAATCAGGTCACAAAGCCCCGCCTTTTAGCCGCCAAGCTAGTTGAATCAAAGGTTAAACATCTCTCAGCAAAAGATGTTGCTAAGTAAAGACACTATACAATTTATGCACTATTAGCCCGTTGCAAGAAACGACCAAGATTTGTAGGTAATCAAAATTCTATCTTGAGTGATTACTGAAAGGAGATGTTACTGACAATCAATACACTACCCACACTAATTATTCGACAGAAAACCCAAAAACTGACGCTCTCCTTTCTTCCGTTTCTTCATAACTTCCTTCAGACTGCATAGATTTAAATCCGAATTCATGATGTTCAGCTAATCAAGTTGAATCTTTTAATATACTGCACTCTCTTACTACTCCGTTTTCAGTCTGCTCGATTTTTGTGTGAGGATGGGTTTTGGTAGTGGTGTAACTCAGCGAAGAACACACATTTAAAATTCTAGTAGACAGGTTTAACAGGTTTTGTAGAACTGTCCCGCAGCTATCACGAGCTAGCTAATAACGGAGGGCCCCCTTTCCGCAGAGAAAGATAGGCCGGTGAATTTTGAGAAAATCGTGTCTCTCAAATTTTAGCTACCGTAACCATACAGTAAGACGCTCATTCGCAAAGCTGGCTTGCTTTTCGTAATTATCAGGCTAGATAACCTCTATGCGCAAGTTTTATGTGATCTTGTGATGTGATGTGTTTTATGTGATCATATGTGATCTCAAAATTTTTAACGTTGTTCATGAGGACTTGAGCTCGTAAGGTCACAGTTCGGCGATCCATACAAAGAAGGGCCTAGCTCAAGCTCTGACAGCACTGTCTGCAGTGATTTCAAATTACAAAAAGGAGCAGGTAAATTTGTTCTACAGATACGCGAGAAAGGCAGACAAATTTAGGAACTTGCGTAATATCGTAGCATTCCTCTCGCATAACCCTGCTAAAAGAAACTACGCCACAAAGAGCACTATTTTCGTAATCAGCGAGTCCGAGAACCTCTATAGGCGAAGCTTCCGGTCAATACAAGACCATCAATATTTTAACCAAAACCCAACGGCGAACTTCAAAGGCTAGAACGGGAAAAAATCAAAGGACCCGAATTTCTAGGAAAACTTGCGCATAGAGGCTATCTAGCCTGATGATTACGAAAAGCACCCCAGCTTTGTAAATTAGCGTCTTACTGTATGATTACGGTAGCTAAAGTGTGAGAGAAATGATTTTTCAAAATTCACCGGCTTATCTTTCTCTACGGAAAGGGAGTCCTCCGCTAACAGCTAGCGCGTGACAGTCTGCGGGAACAGTTCTACCGAACATGTTAGACCTGTTTACTAGAATCTTCCATGTGTGTTCTTTGCTGAGTTACTCCAGGGTCAAGCAAGGGGTGTGGCACGCGATCGCTGGTTACGACCCCCCCTCTGATTGCTGTCTTAATGAGACCTCCCCCCCCCCTCCTGAATTATATACCTAAGATAGCATTACCTGAAGGCCGTGTCAATCATAATGGGCAACATATCCATAATTAGCATGTCAATTAACCCCTGTAGACACAGTTTGAGCGAATTCTGGAGATTCAAGATACTAGGCTACCTGAGTGAAATGGCATTTTCCAACATGATTAACTTTGGCTGCCACAGCTTTTAAAGGGGTGTGCCACACCCCATTAACTATATCAAAAAAGCATTTTTAGCGAACAGTATTTATATGAATCGATAGCCTAAACTTCGTAGATTCCATAGAAATGTTTTAAGCCTGATTCGTCTTCTTAGCTCTGAGTAATATTTGGTGAAAGCACAGCCATCAAAAATGGAAAAAGGGAAAAATAAGATTTTGGTTGGCTTCTAACTCCACAGTTTGGAGGTCTTTTGAAGCGGAATTTCTGAAATGGACAAAGAAGGAGTAGTGCTTTGTCTTGAGTGCAAAAACGGGTAGCTAACTCACCTTTGAAACCACCAAAGTTAACCATGTTGGAATATGACCATTTCGCTTAGGTAGCCTAGTATCTTCAATCTTCAGAATTCGCTCAAACTTTGTCTACAGGGGTTAATTGACATGCTGATTATGGATATGATACGAATATCATGTTATCACTATTATCAGATTACCCAATACGACCCACTCCCCCTTTGACTCCTCAACACGACCCCCTAGGTGTGGCGTGCCACACCCCATGCTTGACCCTGGTTACACCACTACCAAAACCCATCCTCACACAAAAATCGAGCAGACTGAAAACGGAGTAGTAAGAAAGTGTAGTATATCAAAAGATTCAACTTGATCAGCTGAACATCATGAATTCGGATTCAAATTTATGCAGTCTGAAGGAAGTTATGAAGAAAAGACGGAAAAAAAGGGAGAGGGTGAGTTTTTGGGTTTTCTGTCGAATAATCAGTGTGGGTGCTGTATCCAGGGTGCACCAAAATTATCGCTGACGTCTCGTTTTCCACATTACAATCATGAAACTCACACTCTACCGTGGTGGCGTTTGTATATGAGCTAGGTGCTAATGCTACTTAGCAACCTTTTTTAGTGCATAAAAAATTGCGATGAAACTAAATGCTTAGAAGACTTTTGAGAAGCTGTCTAATGAAGTAAGCATTTCTAAAGCTTTTTAAACTGCCTATCTCACAATGGCGCTGTATGCTTTCCCACTGTAGTTTTGCAGCAACCAAAATAGATTAGTGATCCACATTACATTACGAATTTGAGTTTAACCAGCTCTAAAAATGGTGCCCAGCTAAGCAAAGACATTGTGAGAGGAGGTTATTAGTGATTAAAAAGTGTGTGTTTACTTTTAGGACACCCTCTATTGTTCTTGGTGTAACAATACTTGACAAAGGCCTAAAAATGCCAAAAAAGTGTCAATTGCCTCTTTTTGCGAGCAAGTGTCTCGACAACCCAAAAACACTATATCAGTCGCTGAATATCTGAGTCAATTCAAGGAATGCATTTCGGAACAGTGTTTCAATTTGAGTTCGACTGAGAGACTGTCAAAAGAAGCAATGAGAGTTGAAAATTGCTATTTTGTCATGTACTCATTGATGTGTATGACTGTTTGGGTTGAGCAAGAGGTCAGCCATGTGTCCTCTGAAAACAATACCCCCTCCCCCTGGGACACCTACTCGAACGAACCCTCCTCGCCTCCGTTTTGTCATAATGTCGCATTTCGGAAAGAAACAAGTTTGTAGTTTAAAGATTTTTTGTTTGTTTTTTGCGCTTCATTTTCTGCGTTTGCACTCAAATGACCCAAAAACAGATAATTGACGGGGATGTGGTTTAGATATGAGTTCTTTCGAGAGCCATAATTTTCTGAAAGGATGCTCTGTGGCCGAATTACTAGTGCGGCAAGAACAGATTTCATGCTTGCTACTCATAGCAAAAATGGAACGGCTTGCGGACTATAAAAGTAAGTTAATGGGTCTACAAAAGCCAGTAGCCCGACCTTGTAAGGAGCGCCTGACCCCTTTGCATTTTTCCCCAAAAAGATTCTTTCATTTAGGTTATACGTCGTTAGTTAGCACATCCTCTTAAATTACACATTAAGGGTCATTTCGACTTGTTTCGGCTTTGTGGTAGTCCATCAAACTAGCGCACTCATGGTGAAAAGCGGGTGTTTGGATTTTTGGGAACACATTATACAAGGAGATTGGTAAACACAATTGGGAAACGGAAGGCTTAATAATCAGTTTGTTAGAAGTATGAAGCTGACTTTTTGCTTCTTCAAAACTAACTTGAACATTTTAAAAAATGACGCCTTCCAGATGCTGGGATCGCAGGTAATGGTTTATAAAACTTACAGAAATTATTTGGTGCTAATTACCAAACTCACACCCAATTTTATGAGGCCTTTTTGACAGCTTAGGATAGTTGGGGTGCATAGCAAGTGTTACCCAGGCAGCCGCCTGGTATCGCAGCCAGCCGCCAGAGCTGGCACCAACGCCGCGGCTCAGCTACCGTAAGCGCGCTCTCGTCATATTTAACCTCTCGCAGAGAGATTTTCGCAGCAGCCTCGCACCTCATCGCGCTGACGTGCGAGAATCCCCTCAGAGGTCGCGCTACTGCCACGTATTATATATCGATCAAGACAGCAGAAAATTTATAGTTTATTAGTAAGATACAACACGAAACATATACAAAAGCAAAAGAAGTTCAAAAAAATAAATTGGTGGAATAATTATAAAATTAAGTTAAAATTTTCAATTATCAAATTTTCAAATTTCTAGTAAATCATTAAAATTTTTAAGCAACAAAAACTATACAAAAAATCTCATCACCTTCTCATAATCTAGAATTATTTCAAAATTTGCTCTTTCTAATTACTCTTTCAGGTAGTCAAAAATAAGCTTGTAAGTTGCACGATTTTTCTTTTGTGTGATGGCGAATAAAGTTGAGACCTGAAATTTTCTTTTGATTTTGCTTTATTCATCCCTTTTTCTATCCCTGCTTAAATCGTTATGGGATTTAACGTGGACGCCGAGCTCGATCAGCGCTTTTAATCGGATTTCTATGACTGTCTTGATTTTTCAAAATTCGGGAGATTTGCAAAAATAATATTGTGGGCATTTACCGCAATAATTACATCGGAGTAGTAGATACGAATATTTGGCAGTTGGGTTTGTAAAAAATCCTGTGCATTTCTACCCTAGTGATTTGCAAGGATAAAATCTAAAAATCGAGAGTTCATTAATTTTGAGATCAAAAAAGGAAACGAGGAATTACCTAATAAACGAAGAAAATTCACTCCATAATATCATGCTTTTAACTTAATTAATTATTCCTC